GGAGTCCTCAACCATAACTTCAGAGGAGATTTCGTTTAGATTGACCTTGGCCTTCTCAATCTCTTGAAGCAAATACTCCTTTTCGATTACATCATGGATATACTAAGTCTTCTTGGGTAGCAAAGAGTTTATTTCGGAGTGGATAATCTTCAAAGTCAGCTTAAAGTCAGATGGAATTTTGAGCGAAGGAAACTTAAGTGATTAAGCCATTTACGCACTAAAAAGTACAAANGCTCAAGTGTTTGAGCCATTTTTGCACTTGAAAGCTTGAATCTATCTCTTTGTCTAGTAGCACTGGCTTTACCGATATCCATATCCATGAAGGAAACGTATTCAAGCACTGATTGCTTGGGAACATTCATATTTTCTTTCGAGATTGTGGAAGATGAAGCGGAAGGACGACTAGCTGGAGAAGGGCGAGATGTCTTTACTTGTTCCCAAAAAGTGAACAAGTCCTGAATGGAGCGCAAGGTGGCGTCATTATCCTGTAAAAAAAATGCAAGCACTTAGCATTGTCATTACATTAAATGAAATGAAATGAAGATGAAAGATAAAACAAAGGCTACCTCATCAGCAGCTTTGGAAAGTTGGGGCACATCACTAGTTGAGTCAGCCATCTGTGGAGACTTCCCCTTGTCTGAACGAGCAAGTTCTGCCACAACGAGTAGGTCCATTGGAACCTCTGCAAAATTTCAGTAGCAATGAATTGAAGGCCAATAGTACAAGCAAGGAAAAAGATCATAAGATATGAATTACCTTCCGGTTCAACACGTGGGGGGTTAACGCCCTGGAAAGGTGGCAGTTCTCTAGTTAGCTATGTATGAGAAGACTCTAGCAGTATGGCTTTCTCTTTAAGAAAAGCCCCTGCATCAGACAACTTGGATGAAGCAACTTCAGAAGAAGACGTGGAGTAGAGGCTGCCAAAGTCAGAGCCTTCGAAGGAGAAGATGAGCTCTTCTGAAAAATTCAGGTGAAAACATTAACTTATGAAGAATTGTTGATTCATGAATAAACAAGCTCAATTACCTTTCTCCTGACGATGAGAGGAGCATCATCATCATCATCGGGCAAAATTGGAGGAGCTGAAGCTGGCTGTTTGCGGCTAAAGGCACCTTTAACTGTACTAGCTTGAGAAGGTGGGGAACCAGTTGGAAGAGCAGAACGTTGGACACGAATAGGTAGCAATTTAGAAGGGGAAACAAGATTCCTAATAGACATAGGAGTGACGAAATAGGAGAAGAAGAAGTCTGTGGCCGCTCCAGCAGGTGGAAAGCACGGTTAACATCAGTTGTGAATAGTCTACGTTTCACAGACGGCTGAGTTGTTCAAAAATAGGATGAGTGGCAAAAGTTGGGTTGAAAGGAGCCAAGGAAAAATCTTTGATCAAAAGATTATTACGGACATCAATGGCTTGTGCCTCTGTTTTATTTATGGTATGGAAACGCTCTATCAAGCTCTTAGAAACCTAGGGAGGAACATGTCACATCTGGCCAAAACCAAGCTGACAAGCAAAAAATTGGGAAGGATATATCTCAACCTCAGACTTGGCATTTGTGCTAGTTAAAATATCATGAAACAATTCCTTTCCAATCAAGAATTGAGCCCAAATGGGCAAAAATGTGCTCACATCATCCATAGTGGAAGGAGGCTGGACGTTATTTGGAATTAAGGGAGCAGGGAAAGGAAAAAAGGTGGGAATTGAGTTCAGATTGTAAAAGAATAAGAAAACATCCCTATTGGACATATTTACGGGGCTCAATTGGTTAATAGCTAGCACATAACAACTAACTGTTCGAGGGAGAGAGGGTGAAGCACCAATTGGGGAAAGTATGCTTTCAACCACAATTGAGCGAGCCAATAGGCCCACTACCAGTAGGAGATACGCTATTCTTCAATTGAAATTGAAGGGAAGTCATGCCTCTATAAAAGGCGGCTAAAAATAATAAACAAAGATTCAAAGGCCTACCACGCGCTAATTCATGCGCTATGGGTAGATAACTCATAGAGGGTTTCATACTAGGCACATAAAGGACGTATTTACAAAGCCAAACCTGAAGAAAGGCCACACACTCAGCATGGTAAAGTTCAGCACTAGAATTATTATAAAATCCTTGCATACCCGAATATGACTCAGTAAGTTTTTTGTCAAATTTTAGGGCAGTCCTGATAACCAAAATGCCAGAAAAAATGGTATCGCCCAAGGGCGGAAGGTTTACTAGGGCTCCAACGGCCCTCAAGGTAATAGACATTTGGCCAAGAGGGAAAACAAAAATATTGTACTTAGATGACCAAAAACTCAATGCAATGGGAAAAAGCACAGGGTTATAAATTGGGGGACAAAGGGCGATTTCTAATAAATCCGAAATCCTGGCACGATAAAAAATCGCCTTAGTAAGGCCATGGTTTACCATACGTGCATGCCACATACGAAAAGTGGTGTCGGTTTTAGGCCAGGTACGAATACCTTTCTCGCAAATCGGCTTCAACGATAGAGAGTTCAGAAAAGGAGGATCTTGAGTGTAAGGGAATAGCTCACCCACCGCCGCTTGTCCGACAGATTCAGTATCATTAAACGATGGACCCAGATAAAATTCATGGAGGTTAAAGTTAGCTGGTGAAATAAAAGTCGAATTTATGTACAGCTTGGTAAGGAGGTTTTGGAAGTCCTCGAAACTAAGGGAGTTGTCAGAAGGGCTTTGTGGAGTAGCCATTTGCTGCAAAGTACAATCTTCGTAAGGAATTGTGAGAAGCGTAGCAGGGAAGCAAGAAGATGAACAGTGATTTCTATAGAGAAAGATAAGCGTGTGATGCAAAGATGTGGATATAATGGCGCAATGAAGTGGTGTGTCCTTTGGTTTATTGGGGTTACGTGGTGTTATATTTTTCAAGATGTAAAGGGTTACCGTCAAATGAAAATAATGATTGGGATTATCCGCCTTTTTCAATAATGCAAGCATTGCCAGAAAATACAAAGGAAGAATGTGACATAAGATTAATACTTGATACTAATTTTGCCATATTTGGGGGTAATTGTTGACATACAAAAATGAGGCACAATTAAATGGTCCAAGAAATGGAGCCCAGTTAGGGAATTTGAGGGATAGGCCCAAATGAGACCATTGTAAAATATAGTGGAAGCCCATAAACAGAGGACTATCATAGCCAAAGCCTGCAGGATGCCCAGAATCAGAACGAATGAAGTACCTTATTGTCGCTCAGAGCGACGGTCCCAGTCTCGCCCAAGCCTTCAAACGCCCAAAACCTAAGCAACCATAGCGTCCTGTTGTTAATTAAAGCGACGGTTATTGAAGCAGTTATTGAGCAAACTTATCATGTTCCACGATCCAAGAATCTTAATTGCAAGCAGTTAAAAGAGGGGAGCAATAGCAGTAGTTTAAAAATGGCGGTTCCTGGACACGTCAACCATTATAAAGTAAGTGAGTAGTCATAGAACGACAAGCAGTTTTCAAACGGTTTTACAAGGAAAACTGGCAAATTAGTATAAAATGAAAAGGAAGACATAAAAGAAAGGACTCCAAATCAATCACTCTCAAATAGAGAATATGTAATTTCATTTCTTTTAGTTCTTATAGTCAATTTTCAAATTACTTTGTGTACTTGTACCTCTTAGAAGCGTTTTGTTTCTTCTTCATTGTAATATTCATAAATAAAACACCCCTCGTTGAGACTTTGTCTCAAGAAGTTTGTTCCTTACACAATCGTCTGAATCACATTTTAATTGTTAGTGAGACTCAATAATCCGCACGAAACACTAGTGTGTTGAACAAACCTTTTGGACGAAAAGCAATTACAATTCTAAACAACTTCAAAATGAACATGGGGGAACCTTGCATTTTTCTCCATCTTTTTGGAGGTTTGAGGGAATCATTTGTGCTAGGTTTAGTTGCGAGAACTAAGGACTCTTAGAGGTGAGAGGCCAGTACTAGTTCCCAAGCAAACATGAACCATGATGTCAACAGGTCACCAGTGTAGAAGCCTTTGTGAAAGCTTTACAGGAATTTAAAAGAGGATGTCAGGGATATAAATATTCAACTTCATAAAGGTCATATTCTTCAAACACATTTTACTTTGAGGGAGAGGACGAGGGTGATAAAGATAAATTGGAACAAAATGAAGTTTGAGGACTTAAATTAAACTCATATTATGCACAAGGTTCCTTTCTATCTCTTTTTCGGTACTAATATCATCTCCATAGAATGACAATATAAAAGAATGAATAATATTATCTAACACTAATGGTGTTAAAGTTCCAGTCTAATGTATCCATCCTTGATATATTCAATTAAATATGCATTTAAAAAGCTTATACTTAACTCATTACTAGCTTAATTATAAAATAGGGAATAGTTACAAGCAAGTGGAACAAGCAAGTGGAATAGATACTCCACTTTACTTTTCAGCTTTATCCCACACTTTACCTGCATCATACTAATGCTTACACATCGCACAGATGCTTTACTTGTGACACATCCTTGTTTGGCACACTTCACATGCTTCCTTTTCAAGATGGAATGTACTTTTAATCAGCAAGAATAACTAACAAAAGAAGGTACTCTAGAAGATCACGTTCTCGTAAAGAATGTTTAATCCTCTTTAACTGAAGCTTCGACAAAGCCAACATAAACAGAACCACCATAAAAGCGCCACTTGTTTTGCGATCTTGATGTCCGAACAAATCCACACAATTGTGTTCAATAACAAGTTGAACTAGAAGATTCAATTCATGTCAGATGACAAAAAAAAGAGCCTTATAAGGAATGAAATAATACAATCTTGAAAATGCACAATAACTTGAAGTCCTTGAAACCAAACACCAAATAATTTTCATTGCGAGTAATAGGATTTTGATTTAATGAACTCATAATACGTGACAATCTGATCCAATCCCATACCATCATTAATTTATCAAATCATAGAATTACAACCCACAATTTGCATTTATTTTTCAATTTGTGATTGTTTCAATTACTAATGTAAGATTAAGCAGCAAATTTTGGGGCTTCCCTGTGCTCAAGGATTTTCTTCTCGAGCTCATCTTTCATGGCTCCCACCACCCTCTCCACTTCTTTCCCTTGCTTCAACAGCACAAATGTTGGCATTGCCTCTACCTTGAATTCCTTCGCCACATCCTGTTAAGGATAAAAAATCAGGTCACTTAAATATAAAAACAATAATCAATGTATTAAGGCTCAATATGGTGTATGAGCTAAAAATTCCAACAAGTTATTTAATGTGCCAGAGTACAATATTGTAGCGTAGAAGAGAAAGTGTAAGCAGTGTGGAGGATTCTGTGTCTAGCCAACTCGTTCTTGTCCACTTAGATGGAATGTCTAAAACTCTGCAATTTCAGCTATAAATATGGTATATAAGCTAAAAAAAACTCAGAATAGGCAATTTGGACAGTCTAAAACTCAATTGAGCCTCGCACCGCAAACTTGAGATTGAATCATACATCAAACGTAACCCCTACCTATAATTAAAACTATTCAAATTGAATTAATTACTTAGGGAAAATCATTAAAATCCTCAAACCAAGATAGAATAAATATTATAAATTGCAAGAAAATCAGAAGTACAACGTACAGAGAGCTCATCCACATCGATTTTGGCAAAGTCCACATCAGTGTACTTGGAAGACATCTCATTGAAGACCGGCGCCATGAATTTGCAGGGACCGCACCACGTTGCCGAGAAATCCACCACAATCTAGCCATTCAAAAATCATAAATAAAAATTCAGATCTCTAAAAGTAAATCTCAAATTTAGAATAGAAAAAATTAAAATCAAAATAATTAATATTTTGGCACTTCCAAGTCCTTGTTCAAGTGCAAGGATCTCGGGGATAAGTATCAAACAAGAACTCCGATTTCAAAAATCCATGCGCAGGTGTTAATCAAAATTGTGTGTGTGTGTGTGTGTATAACGGGGATCTCGGAACTGGAATTCGAGCAAGAACAAAATTTGAATTCGATTTCCAACACCGATGATTAAAATCCATTCAGTACAGCCTTAATAAATTGAAATTTTGTAATCAAAAACTACATAAGAGAATAATAGATGTATAGCAGAACCAGTTTATTAAGTTGCTTGGAGGAATTGAAGTAGCGCTGCCAGCGGTTAGCTGAATGGAACGCGGTGACGCGAGCTGATTCAGACGTCTCGGCGGATGCTGACTCAGCTGCCGCCGCCTCTCCGCCGCCGACTATACTTGACAGAATCGAACCCATGGGTTTTGTTTTGCTAATTTTGAGACTCCGAATCTTTGGGGAATCAAACCAATCGAAGAAGAAGATACAACGAACGTTGACGTGTGTAGCATTGATATATATGGACAAGGATGGACCATTTTATAGTAGGCTGGCCCAATTACAACGACATGGCTCAAACCCAAATTCAAGAAAAATATATAACTACAGAGAGAAATGAGGGGATGTAGCTCAGATGGTAGAGCGCTCGCTTAGCATGCGAGAGGTACGGGGATCGATACCCCGCATCTCCAATTTTGGCCCTAACAATTATTCTTGTTCGGTTTTGCTATGGGTACATTACCCCTTACACAAGGGGTGACATAATGTCCAAGTGGCGCCTTCTCATTGGAGAAAAGTTTGGTATTCGAACGCTATGTCGCCAAAACTTCAAGCCAAATCCAATTTTTGTTTGGAATAAAATGGTGAAATTGTGTTTGCTATTAGATATTTAAGAAAAATACACGCAAATATCATCACTGCTTACTTTCAAGCGACAAGAAACAAAGCGTATATTAAAGATATATGTAACATCCACATAAGCATTCAGAAAAATATGCTAAGTGAAAAGTTAGGTGCTTGAACGGTGAACATTATGTTGCAAAGAGTAATGCAATTTAGCTGCATTGATGTTTAACACTGACAACACTAGTATCATTAAATTACGAGTAATACAAGTAATGCTATTCATCACCACTGGAGTTACAAACACAGTCTATGTGGTGTTAATGTGGCATTAAATGATAGGTGAAATTAAATAAGTCATTTAATTTCACATTTCATTTAACCCATCACTTAGAGCCACCTAGTCTGTATTTCTATTCCCATTAGAGATAAATAACATTACTCGTAAATTATAGATTCAATTAAATAAAATGAAATTTGGCACATCTAATAGAACTTCTGATATACTGACACTGTCTGGCATTCAACGCCACTGGTATTAAATAACATTATTCTGTAGCAAATGCATCCACCCACAGATCAAATACTTGTTTGGATTAAACGAAGAAAATGTTGGTTCTGACAATTAAAACCTATATTACTTACTATTGAAAAAAATCACATCAAAATTTCATACCTAAGCCAATAGAATATGCGACGCTAGAAAATGCAATCTGCAGCATCCTTCTAAATCAGATATATGTTGCACGACGTCGCATGCCTTACATGCCCTTCTCCCGGTATTGAAATGCCCAATAATTAGACTCGCGATATTTTTCTCGACAAATTCTTCAATCCACATCCAACACATTTAAGAATGACGGTCCTTGTTGATGGATCAGGCTTAATAACGAACTTGACACCTAGAAAGTCTCTGATGTGCCTAAGAACTTCAATTCCATATGGTGTGAGGTGTCCAACGCGAACCTTTGAAACATCTTGGGGACATGATGCACAGAGAATGAACAACAAACCCTGCAAAATAAATGGAAAATACTACCTTTCGTTACAAAATAAATTCAAAGAAAGCAACCACCTCGTTTATGTTTAAGGATATAACAAACATTATCCAGAGTTTGGTGGGAAAAGCTTTTCTAGGCAACTTTTTTTTTTTTTTTTTTTTTTTTTTTTTTATGAAAAAAAATTTAAACCACATTTTTAAAAANTTTTTTTTTTTTTTTGTAATGGAAACAAATTGTATCCCCAATTGTAACAAATTATATCCATTTAATGGACATTTTCATGAAAAACAAAACCAAATGAATACCAAAAAATCGAAAATTTCAATATTTTTCAGGTGAAAAATTATATTAATCAAACACAATTAATTGACAATTCCCAGTAAAAACAAGTTTTAGGCAATTCAATTCCCTGAAATTCATTTTCTTTCCACTCAAATTCAATTCTTGCAATCAGACGGGCCCTCAGAGACTTTTGTAGAATTCAAAAGATTTTTGAAAACTTTCATTTGAGATACAATTTATGTGGATCTAGTGCAATATTGCGAAATTATCACATACGAGGTGGTGGTTCTCACAATTCCACATCTCTTTCCTTTTTCCCGATGTAATTAAAAAAATATTTTAAAAAGAATAAAAATTTAAGACCTTAATTAAATAAATAATAATAAATATACATATAAAAAAGGAAATTTAATATTCAGTATTATTAATATAATATACATTTAAAGAATATAAAAAATATATATATTTAAATTTAATTATAAATTAGTCTATATAAAATTTTATAATTTAATTAAAAATAGATATTTTTCAGAGAAAATAACTGAAAAAAGGAAAAAAAAAAGTTATAAAAATACAATTTAATTTTTTCATAGAAAACAGAAATAAACAATAAGAGAGTGGAGGGAAGAAAAATACAAACTAATACAATCAATAGAAGAAAATAAATTTTAATCATTACTCTGATGTTTGTAGAAGGAAAAAAGAAAGATAAATATTGAAAAAAAAATACATATTAATTTCTTCTTCTTCTTTTTTTTTTTTAATGAAAGTCCCCCAAAATCTTGTGATTAATGAGAGACAAATTTTAAGATTTTATTTGAGTACTTTCTGCTTAAAAATTAGTACCATATAGACTTTCACAAAAGTCACTAAAAGCTATAAAAATTTGAATACCTCAAAACTTATAGAGAATTCTAAAAAATTTTAATTGATTACGCTGTGACTTCTAAAGACTTTTTAAAAGTTTATAAAAGTCTCAATTGAATACACCAATACTTTTAGAAAGTCTCCAAAAATCAACATTGAATACTTCCAAAGTTTTTTAATCCCAAAAAGTTATTAAAAGTCAATTGAATACTAGCATGTTTAAAATATTAATTTGAATATTCTCTCGTATGAGTTAACACGGTTCGATTTGCGACGAACTTTCGAATCAAACCGCATAAAGAAGTTTGAATTTTTTTCAAACCAAACCAATTCAAACCACCTTTTTCGATTTGGTTTGATTTAAAACCTCAATTCTACAAAGAAAAATATAACGTATATCGAATAAGTAATAAATATTTTCACGTTAAAATATAAATAACATCATTAAAAATATTACAAATTAACCAAATTTCTATAATTTTAATCATTATAATGTAACAACATGATATAAATATTTTAACCTCTTAGTCCATACTAATTGACGTAACATCTATAATTGTAACACACGATTCATTCTCTCTATAAAAATGAGAATATAGCGCATAAGTCATTGGTTATTGTTAAATGGAATAAAATAACTAAATAAAGAAAGAAAATGAATAGAAAAATCAAATACGATTCTATAATATTTTGTGATACATTCAATGATTCTACCTCATCTAAATAGTGAAGAATTACTATAAGTTTCATTTTACTATGCTACCAATGTTTAGAGCAAATTACTGTCTCAAGCATATTTTCATTCAACGTAACTCCTAAAAGAATCAAGAATGGGACCATTAGTAGGGAATGTAGCCTTAGAAATAGTTGTGAATATTTAAATAGCTAACATACCTTTAATAATTTGGGGGGACAATCTTGTACGTATTTGCTTTCAATTTATACTAAAATAATATGTCGAAAGACTCATTGGTCAAATCTTCAAAACAACAGTTAAGTAAACCATCAAATCATTCTAGCAATTAACGGTAAAGTAAAAAAAAACTAAATTAAAATATAAATAATTAATTGAATGATCTAATCAAGAAATTGAGATGCAAATAAACAAAACGTGATGTCCACTAAAAATTTAAGGGATCCCGGAACAAATTAGAAGAAAATAACATAACTACCAATAAACTACTGCAAATAGTTTTCAAGAGAATACGAAATTTTGGATAAACTAACATAAAAATTTAGTTGAAATTCGAGAAAATTATTAGTGAAAGAAAAACAAATGTGTGAGTTTGAATTAAAATCTAGATATAGTTATTTACTCAATTAGGGTAATAGGCGTTAGATAAATATGATTCAGCACCAGTTTTTAAACCGAAGTCCTCACTCCATTTTTATTGTATATTTATGCTTTTAACATTTTTCATTAGCACATGTTGTCATGTTCAATTAAAAAGTGGTGCAATTAAAACAATTGTGCAGTTAATAGAAGACAAAATTTGTCACTACTTAATTGACATGCGTATTATTTGTTCATGTATGAGTTTCAATTAAATAATGGATCCTACCTATTTAATATAAATATGAATTCAACCGTGACAAAGTAATTCAATAGTCACATAGTCAACAATCATCGACAGCTTATCACCAGTGATTAGAATCATTAATGATTTACAAAATCACGCATGATATTAGTGTTGATAATCACTCAATGATCACTAAAGATAATCGTTGTCGACAATTTGTCTAAATGATCGACAAATATGATTTCAATCAGAATCACTAGAGATCAAGTCGTGAACTATCAATGATGGTCGTTAGCAATAATTTGTTCCATTAATTCTTTTATTACCACTCTCAAAAAAATTCTTTGATGATTTTGTCCAAGGTCCCCAAATTGCTTGTGTCGCATCTTGTGACAATATATGTACAAATTGTACATGTGCGTATGTACCAATAATTAAATGGCAAAACACGTACAAGCAATTAAGCCTCCACAACACGTACTGTTATGGGCTTTCCCTTTAAATAGGGGAATGCAACATGTACAACACTTGGTTACAACATTAGATGACAATCTCTCACAATGGGGCGGGGCCCTAGAACTATTTTAATCCCGGGCCCCGCTCCCCTTGTGAGAGATTGTCATCCAATTTTATAACTAAGTATTGTACAAGGAGAATTATTCTTAAATAGATTTGACATATTTAGCATACATTATTAAATATAATTAAATATTAACATGAATATAATTATCAATTTTAATCTTTTTTATTACTCAATATTGTTTCGTCTACTTACCTAAACTGATTTTGGCTTCCTTTCATATTCTGGCTGCCCTTTAACCTCAAGTATGAAATCTTCCCTTCTTTTTTCTAGAATTGATTATATTTTTGATAATTTTCAAGGGTGTAGGGTTTTGTATTCTTGATT